GCCACGCCGCCAGACTTCACTCCCGGTCCTGCGCGTTTCACAGGCCGCGCAACGCGCCTCGGGCCTTCTACGCAGCGCGTCCTGAGCGTCAGGGATTTCTTTGGGGTTTAGGAGAATGTTAGACTGTTTTTCCCGGGCACGTCTAGACAGGTCACCTGAGGACACTCGCTGGAAAATAGTTACTTTGCTCACGCCTCCGCCAACGAGGGACGTGCCCTAATTGAGTGATTGGAATGCAACATGAATACAATTTGAATAATTTTTCTCCTTTGCGGAGAGAAGCTGTATTTTTTTTTTTTTTTTTTTTTGGTCTGCGGATGTGTCCTCAGTATATAGCAAGGTGCTGCTACGTGGTAGAGTTACATAAAAGTTTGCTATATTAGTGAGTTAGTAATTAACTTGGAGGCCAAGGATGCACTGAAAGCTAGTTTTGATGGAAATTTTTCATCTGTTGAAAACTATTTACTGAGCCCCTGGTACATGCAAGACACAGTGCTAGGTCCTGGGGATGAAAAGCTAGAGGACGAGATTTCTGCCCTAGTGGAATGTAAGGTCTAATGGAAAAATAGACACTTGGACAAGTAATTACACGTATAATAAGTGATGGGTTATTCATCAAAATATTCAACATGGCACCTTAGCATATTGAATATTTTAAGCTGAAGGAGTTTTAAGAAAATACCAGAAGCAGGAAGGTCACTGACCCCTAACCCTTCTTCCCTGAAATAGGCCATAAAACCCTCAGGTGAGAGGTGCCCTGCCCTTACAAGGAGGAAAGGAGCACCCTTATCTCCAGGGACAAAGGGACACCAAGAAGAATCCGATAAACAGGCCTTGATAAGTTTCTCCCAGTCTAGATATTTTCCTCCTCAACCTACCGGAGTTCTCCGTGACTGTCCACTCTTCAGCAGAAAAACACACAGGTCTATTTCTTTGGGTCATCGGTTCCTGACGAAGGCTCTAGTGTCATGTACCACTTAAATTTATATCCTTTTCTCCTGTCAATCTGTCAGTATAATTTTCAGGCCCAGGGAGAGATCCTAAGAGAGTTGAGGAAAGCTTTTTCCCTCTTCCACTTAAGCATTGCAAAGTGATACCTCTGTAGGACCATCACGACAAAGGAATTCATCCTGTACTGGGGTCGGGGAAGGCGGCCCTGGGGAAAGTTACGGCAGGGGTCCCCAACCCCCCGTGGTGCAGACAGGTATCTGTTGGTGAGGAACCCGGCTGCACAGCAGAAGGTGAATGGTGGGCCAGTGAGCAAAGCTTCATCTATATTTGCAGCCACTCCCCAGCGCTAGCATCAGTGCCTCAGCTTCACCTCAGATCATCAGGTGTTAGATTCTCATAGGAGGCAGCACCAGTCTCTGGTATCAACAAGGCTGGGGACCACTGACCTACAGGATAGATAAAACTCACCAGATGAACAGAGGCAGGAAGACTATTCCAGAGCAGCTGGAGGGAACAGTACACAGAGAATCCAGGGATCTTGCTACATTCCTCCAGGGAGGAAAAGTCTCCTGTGGGGCTGGGTGAGAAGAGCCCTCTGGCTCGAGCTGAAGAAGTAGGCAAGGGCTCCTGGAGAGCCTAGTCAGCCACACTGAGGACTGATTTTTGCCAGAAGAGCTTGTTGGCTCCTCCCGGGAGTTGGGGGAACGGGGGGATGAGCTACTGGTCTCCCTCCTACGCTATGATCTCAATATCACTTGGTCTCCTGCCAAAGATTTTTACTTGCTTCTTTTTTCTTAGGCACTCTGCACAAGGAAATTCCTTCTTTAGGCAACTTCCTGAGGGTGGATAGAGTTTTAGGATTTTTGCAATTCATTCATTCTTTAATCATATCAAGAAGCAAGATTGAGGACGCAACAAATGTCTGAAAGAAGACCGAGAAACCATGAAGTACAAATCTAAGATATTTGATCAAAGTCGAAAGTCTGTGCGTCCCAGGAGCCAAGAGCTCTTATGTAAAAGAACTTTGGAAATGAAGAATCAACTGGTACATTTCGGAGATGTTCAGAAAGGTCGAGACAGAGAGTAGAAGTACCCTTTGAAAGGGGCTTCATAGACCTGCATTAAAAAAGATTTAGGAGATTACTGCTTGATGCTTTGATATGAAACACAAATAGAATCAACTAGAAAAGAATTTCACCTTAATATGCCATCAAGTCCCCTTCAGGAAATAGCATGCTGATGCTTGTCAGGCCGCAGTGGTTGGTTGGGTATTTATCCTCCAAACACCCTGTGTGGCCAATTAGGAACAGTACTAACAGTACCTTTAGATTTCAGCCACCCAGTCTTTTGCCTTTTTTCTCCTTCCCCATTATAAACCTCTTTGCCAGCGCAAAAGACACATGCGTCAGAAACACTGATGCAATGAGACGCTAATATCAGATTGCATCATATGATCCTAGGTGTGGTGCTCCTGAAACTGGTTTTTCTTGAGGCTGTGCAGCAGTAGAAAAGCGCTTTGCGGATAACACCCAAGAACTGGCTCTACTCGTCGAATGGCAAAAGTGATTTTTGCAACTCCCTGCCTCAGTTCCTCGCCACTAGCCTCCTAGGGAAAGCCAGAGTGACTTTCCTGGCTGAATGGGTGTGCTGCAGACATTCATCGGTTAGGTGTGTCATGCTGCCACTTACGTAGCACATGTTACCTGCGGAGGTGCACCTACCAGGCAAGCTGGAAATGACATTTCCTCCTCCCAAACGTGTTCTGCATCGTATCTCATTTTAATCGAGCAACTATCCTGGAGACAAACCAGTCTGGTGCAAAACCAGAAGAAGAAGAGGGAAAGAAGGTGGCTGAAGTTTCTTAGATGCTTACTAGGTGATGGACACTTCATCCACAGAACTATGGAAATGTGGGTTCCACTTGCCAGGACCAGCAGGAGGCCATCACCAGGACCAGCAGGAGGCTCTTGGGCCTCTCTGGTGTTCAGCGAAGTCATACATCAAGTTAGTTTAGCCTACTTTTAAGGTCCCTTCCTGAAATTGCTTGCTATTCAACTTGGCCGCAGAAAATTACACCTTCAGTTGGAGAACTGATTTTCTGGTCTAGTATCTATAAAAAAAAATGATCACTAATCATGGGAATGATGCTACTGACCAACAGAAAATTGGGCTGAATGGTCTGTATACAGTTGGGTTAGGATAGGATGATACAACCTAGATCTTCACCATCCAACATGGTAGTAGCCACTGGCCACATGTGGCTTCTGAGCACTGGAAATGTGCTAGTGCCAGTTGAGATGTGCTGCAAGCGTACTTACACTGGATTTCAAGCCTTAGTACAACGAAAAAATATGAAATATCTTGTTAATAATTGTATTATCTTGATTACATATTGAAATAATATTTTTGACATATTAGGTTAACATAGTATTAAAATGAATATCACCCATTTCTTTTTACTCTTTTCAATGTGTCTACCACAAAATTTGAAATTGCGTATATAAAATATTGTGCTTCACATTTTATTTCTATTGAACAGCACTACCTTCGAAAGCATAGCTGGAAAACTGGTAAGTTGCTCTGGATTCAACATTTTCTGCCTCTGTTCTCTAGTTTCCCTCATCTGTTAAATGGCAAGATGAAGTTTGGGCTAAATTTCTCTTGGGGCTCCTTCTGGATTTAATATTTCTAGGTTCTGAGAACATTAGCAGGTAGGAGATCCTTGTCATCGTGTTTGGAAATATTTTGGGGAGAAGAAGATCGTATAACTTCATTTCTGCCCTTGAGTCATGAACTTTTAGAAACCAAAGCATCTTTAAGTATTATCGTTGGACCTTAAGCCCCCAGTCTGCAAGCCCCTCGTGGGCTTGTGATTTTCCAGTAAGCACCCAAGGTGACCTGACTTGTAGTAAGCTGTCAGTATATGTTTGTTGACCTATGTAGTCAACAGAGGAAGAATTGAAGCCCAGAGAGACTCTGAGACCACCCAAGGCCAGCAGCTAGCTGATGGAAAAGCCAGGAAGAATACAGGCCAGTTCAGGACCCCTTTGGCATGGTCCCTGGACCAACAGAAGCTGCATCATTTGGGTGTTTGTTAGAAATGCAGAATCTCAGGCCAGCCCGAATCTATAGATCCTGAAGCTACATTTTTATCAAGATCCTCCAGGTTATTTTTATGTCTCTTAAAGTGTAAGAAGTGCTACTCCAACTCATACCAGTTTTCTCAGGGAAAGCATCATTGTCTGTGCCCTGGGGAAGTGCTTCATAATCTAGTTGCAGGATGAGGAGGTTTAGGAGGCTAGACAGCAGGACTCATATGCTAGCTAACGAAGACGAAGATGTAAGAAAATTCGACAAATGTTTTCTGAGCCTCTACTCTGCTAAGCGCCTGGAGCCAATGCATCTGCTTCTCTTCCTGAGGGTTTGAAGGGCTTACATTTTTGCAGTCCCTGTCACCTGTACTTCAAGAACAAGCAACCCCTTCACAAGCAGCCCACCCCTGCCAGTCCCTCTATCCCTTCTTTAATACAAGAGAGTCCAGAAGCAATTCGAAATGAAAACAGGCACGCCTCGGGAGTTAAATCTAATTTTTCAGACCCAGGAAAAACAGGATCGAAATCAATTCCATCAATGTCTGCATGTTGGTTTGTAACCACCAGTCCCTCCCAATTCTGCAGGATGTTTGCATTCATGTTGTGTTCCGGCCTATGATAGAACCACAGTTTATAGAACGGGTCTCTAATCAATAGCTCTCCAGTCATTTTTTTTAAGACTATCCCGCATCCCATCTTGCATAGAAAAACCATATACTGCAGAGATTCCGTTTTCCCCTGGAATGGGAAAGTTGGCAGTATGGCTATATGGTTTTGAGACTAGAGAAAGAGCAGGACAAATGAATTGTGGGCCTTACAGATGTTTGCCCAGCACTGA